TTGTTTCTTTAAAAAATCTATCGAACTTCCCAGTCGATTTAATCATCAAATGGCCGAGATTCCTTTGCCATTTAAATTGAACATTTGCCATATCTTGGTGATGGAAATAACGGTTTTCTGCTGAAAATCTTTCTTATTTGAATTTAACTTTTAAATTATTTTTTAATGATTAAAAAATAATTTCGATCTGAATGAAATTTTTTTCTTTTAAAAGAATATTTAAAACATGCAAAAAATATTTCATCCGTCCTGGAAGGATAAAGTTATAACTTATCTGGAAAAGGGGGTTTGATTTATAATGTGGAGGGTTGGTTGTGATATGTGGAATTTGGCTGTTGTATTCAGGGCGGACCGCTTCAGAGGGGGGAGGAATCTACTATTTTATTCCCATCGTTGGTGTATTCTCGGTGTGTCCTACTCTGTTTCTATTTAGATGTGACTGATGAAAAATCCAAACTCCAACTCCATTCCACTCCCTAGTGCTGGATATCCGTTTAAAGCAACTCATTAACTATTAAATGGGTGCGAGAAAAGACTCCGTTGTTTATGTGGATGATTTAGTGCAGCAATATATCATCACTGGACCGCATCCCATGATTGGCCTTAGGGTCACCATTTTTTTGTTGAGTCATTGGATGGGGATGTTTAATTTATAATTGAGGAATGGTCTTGTGAGATATAAAGTTGACGAGCATTATAGAAATTCCTTGTATTGTAGATGTAGAGGGAACCACCGGTTAAACTTTTTATAAACATTTTTTCGCTGAAAAAGGATAGGGACCTGAACACTTAGTTTTTCATAAAGATAGAGGAGTTTAGAGTATTGAAAATTAATCAAAGCTTTCCGAAATAAAGGTTATTACCAGAACAAGAAGCATAATGAATCGGAATTGAAGGGATTTTGTATTTTATATGTGATTATATGATTTTCTCCTCTTCGCTTCTTATCTGTGTCCAATCTAAATTATGTTTTATTAACAAACCTTGGGTTTCCTTAAGTATATATTACCTTTTACAATTATCGTATGTTTTCTAGAATTAATCATTGTTTTCCTTAGTGGTGCGAAACTCATTTGTACTTTTCCTAAAATTCATATCATTTTGAGTTTTTCCATTTTCTAACTTTATTGTGTGAATGTAAGGTATATCAATAGTTTTTAATATGTTTAAGAAAACATACCAGTTTTTGTTAACTATCTAGATGACTTTGAATAAATAATTCTACTGGAGTAACCTTTTGGAATATGTATGTGTTTTTAAACTATTTCAGATAAATGCATCCTTCATTTTTCTTATACAATCTTACCGAACTATTATTTCTGTCATGATTGTGTTAAAATGAAACTAATCGGTCATTTTGAATTTATCTTAGTATCGATACTCATTTTCCTTTTATATTGGTAAGTTCCCTTTGTTTTATTATTTGTCAGACTTATTACCATCCACTTTTTTTTCGTGTCATTTTCCAGGGACGATAGTCGTTTTCATTGGTATTTCTTAAGTGCAAGTTCTGAGAAGTATCGAATTTTTAATAAAGAAAATTTCCGAGGCAAACATTTTGGCATACAAATAGTATTAAAATTTATTACTTAGTGTAGAGCAGCCTTATTTTTTATTCTGGGACTCTTTTATATTGTTCCCTTAACCTTTGTAATATTTGTTGATCTTATTTCCTGACATTTAATTTTTACTTCAGTTCTACTATATATATATACTTGAAAATAACTATACAAGCAGGACTATAAATAACTATAGTTGTTATCCAATGTACTTATCACACTAAAATACTTGAAATCCTGTAGTTACTATTATATTATTTAAAGGAAAAAATTGTAATCTTTGATTCCTATTAAGTCTTTCTGTATGTTTTGAATATTCATGAAAATGCACACTCTCGAGTTGATGGAAAGGTTTTATGGGACAACAAACCAAGTTTTATGTTTACCTTTTAATAATAAAACTGTAGACTTGATAATAGAGAGAATGGGTATAAACTTAATGCTCTGTGTCAATTTTATTACCACCTTCCAGACAAATATG